AAAGACCTTCCTGCACCAATGTCTAGATGAATTAAAAATTTAAATAAAAAATTTAAAAGATTATGCTGCAATGACTATTTTATATTGATTGCTTGTTTAACCAATTTTCGATAGTTATGGCAAAAAACTATATTTTTTAAATATAACAAGGCACTTTATGAAATTTATAAAATTTCTTTTGTTTCAATAGATGCAATTCGACTCAATCCATTGACAAAAAAGCTACGGCTGCTAAAGTATAAGACGTAGTGAAGAAATGGCTTGAAAACGCAAAAGATAGGAGACAAGGTCGCGCAAAGCGAAGAAGATTAGAATTGAACGACGAAGTTTAAAATAATGTAGAAGATGAATAAAAACAATTTGCCATAACTACAATATTGCAAAAAAATATTATCTTGGCGAATATTTTTTTAAATCCATTTTTTAATAGTATTTAATATATATATATATATATATATATATATATATATATATATATATATATATATATATATATATATATATATATATATATATATATATATATATATATATATATATATATATATGCACATTACTTTTTTTCTTTTTTTCTGGAGTCACTACTTTTTCCGGAACAATTTAATAAGGTAATTTTTATTAGAATACTGTTATAATAAATGTAATAGTTTTGAATAGTAACAAATTGATTTATATTTTGTTTTTGTAATTACTCATACTAAGTTTCACTTTAGATTAAATAAGTTAATATTTAGACTTAGTAAATCTTAGTAAAGAGTAGTTGAAATCTTATGACTAACGCGTTTTAAACTGTGATAATATTTCATGGGTATGATAGAAAATATAAATTTTTGAAAGATTTTGCATTAAAGTTTTATTTCCAGACTAATATATTAATTCGCTTTTTAGAGTAAGTAAGATATATTCTGATTAAGAACAACGCTTCATTAATTAATGAAAATGCATAAAGATGACAAATGTCCTGCAATGCAGAAACACCCTAGTTATTGCTAATAACATTAAATCTACTGTATAACTGTCGAGCTGTATACCAATATGCTTCGAAAGTTGATGAAATATTTGCTCTTTACTATTTTTTATATCTTTATTATTTAATAATTATTTAAATAGTTAAGATAATAATAGAAAAGCAAATAATTATTTCGTCGTTTTATTATGTGTTTTTCGATAATTTTCCATTCTATTTTATAATCGCTATGAATAATAATCGCTTTTGCAATCTCATTTGTTGATCAAAATAAAGCGGGCTAATGTCCTTTTACTGATCTCGGCACGACGTCATTTTACTGATATCGGCCCAATGTTATTTTACTGATATCGGCTCGACGACATCGGGCCTACATCGTTCTGATGAACAAAAACTTAGTCGGCCCGACGTAGTTAAACTACCATCGGCCATTGTAAAAGCCTACGTTGTACCAACGTCGGGCCAATGTGTATATGTTATCTGGATTTATTAATGTCAAATATTACCTGTAAAAATATCTGATCTTTTTGATTTTTGATAACGTAGCCAACACAAGGAAATATCTTTCTAATAATATACCTTTCTTCGGGCTTAAAGTAATAAAATTTTTCAGACCATGGTATTTTGGTATTGGCTACATGATTAATTTTTTTTTGTCATTTTGTTTATATTTTAAATACTATCAGATGGGCTAAAATATTTTTGCTCTGTCACCAGAGCAAAAATATTTTAAATTTATCGTTGTGTTTTTTATAGATAAAACTGATTTTATCGCTGTGTTTTAATTAGATAAAACTCATTTTTCTATTTTGACCTATCCAAACTACTTAGTGAACAAAAAACTTTCTTATTATATGTTATTCCACGGTAATCCGTGATTAGATGGAGGCCATTTTAGATATTCTTCAAGTTTTTTAGGAGCTACAAAAATTATTTTTGTAAATAAAGACTTAAATTTTGTTTAGAATTTATCTACTGTATCGCTTATAAAATTAGCAAAAATCTACTCAATATAAATTAATTTAATAGAGATTTATTAGATTAACTTTAAGTTATCGCAGCAATTATTTATTATTTATTATTTCATAGAGTTTAAAATAATATTGGATTTGCAAAGGTGCACGTGGGAGTTAAAAACTATGACGTCTTCATATTAAAGTGCGAAGAGGCCAATACCCACTGATTACCAGAATTTATTTCCCTGCATTTATTAGTTGTTACCATTTAATTATAGTTAACTCATTAATTTTTTTTTTAGTATAATTGTAATTGTAGTAAACTTTATTTATAATCGTAACCATAGTAAATTTTTTCATAATTGTAACTATAGTAAAATTTTTTATAATTGTAACCATAGTAAATTTTTTCATAACTGTAATGATAGTAAAAATAAACTTTTTATATTATCATTAAGTTACTTATTATTAAATTTTCTCTTATAATTTATTAAAGTATTGCCGTAGAAATCAAATCATGGCCTTGATATGTTAAATTTCCTAAATATCAAAATATCAAGATATGTAGTTTTTGATCATTAGCTTAGCCTTCCTTTAGGTTTAAAAGACCCATGATCTTCCAAGCCTAGTCTCAGTACCCTACCCAAAAATTATAATTTTCACTAGCAGCCACAAAAGTCCTTATTAAAAATAACACAATATATTATCGGCAGGGGCGATTCTAGAAATAAAATGATGGGAGGAAAGGGTGAGGGGTGCAAATCCCTAAAAAGTACCAATTGCTTTCAAAAAAAAACGTCCTCAAAACTAAAAATTACCCGACTGAAATTTATCAAATACCAAACTAACCGACTATATTCCTCAAAAAACCGACTAAAACTTGAAAATTGCTTACTTTGAACAAGTGAAGGGGGGTTAAAGGTATGACAACTCTCTCACACCCCTATCCCCCGTAGAATTGCCCCTGAGTATGAATTTGTTCTTGTATATAGTTATTTTTAACTGAGGAGCCAGTTTGTTATCTACATCATACTGTATTTACATCATTATGCTAAGTTTTACATTGTTTGTAAGAACTAAAAAGTATTTGTTTTGCACAAAACAACTCAATTTACTTTTGCCAACAAAATAAAAATTTCTTTCCAGATTTTAAATTCTTTCTAGATAAATATTTGATGCTATTTCTATATTTGTAATTAAATTTCTATATTCTTTACAAACCTTGAGATAAAAAGCCCTAAAATTTCATTAACATTAGAATTATTTCCTTTTATAAATTTTTTTATAAATTTTTTTATAAATTTGCATTTTTTAACTATTTAAGCAATATATATTTTTGCATCTGTCAGCAATTTAAGTCAGTAATCACACACGTGATATATATTTTTGCATCTGTCAGCAACTTGAGTCACCTCAAATTTACTGCAAATATAAACCTCAGTGTTACTAATTTTAAAGCGCTCAAAGAAATATTACTATCCTGAACTATTAATAAAATACAAAAATGGTTAAAAAAAAAAAAAAGTGGTTTATTATTAAGGAAGTAATGGGAAAATAAATTTTTACAGAAATTTACTTTCTAAAATTCTTAAAATTTATAACAATCCTGTTATAAATAAATCCTTAGTAGCCGAAACAATTAATCAGTTTTTTGTAAATATAGGTCCAATTTTATCATCAAATTAGAAACTTCTCAAGTACGCTTTAATTTGTACTTAACCTAGGTTAAGTAATCAGCAACGTTTTTGATTATTGGAAAAAAAGCGCTAAATTTCAATTAAAAGTTTTAGATCAATGGAAGTATAATGACGTTTTTCGTTAAACTTCCAATGAAGTCGTAAAATTTGCGGAAAACCCAATGAACTCTTTAAATTTCCAGTGATCTTTTACATTTACAGAGAACTTTCACTGGAAGTTTGCTGGGTTTTATTTGTAAGGGCTTAACTAACATTAGTATTAAGTCTAATTATAAATTAACTTCCGCGGTGCTCTGTGATAAGACCTAATATAGTGTATAATTAGGTCTTAAGACCTAATTATAGTGTATAATTAGGTCTTAAGACCTAATTATACACTATATTAGGTCTTATCACAAAGCACCGCGGAAATTAATTTATAATTAGACTTAATACTAATGTTAGTTAATTTTTAGTAAAGTTAATAATTATCTCTGTGATAAGTCTAATTATAAACCTACTAAAAAAGAACAATTAGATGTCTCTTTGTTAAAGACTAATAAAGTTTAGGATTTGATGATATAAGTTATTATCAAATCAATAAAACAAATTATAGTTCCATTATTATACATTTTTAATTTATCTTTAAAACAAGGTGTTTTTTCAGAAAAGCTAAAAATTGCAAAAGTTGTAAAAATTTTAAAATCAGGAGATCCTTTGGATGTTACTATTTATAGACCAATCTCAATTCTTTTTTGTTTTTCTAAAATTTTAGAGGGAATTATGTATAATAGACTTTATTCTTTTATAAATATTAATAATATATTTTTCCATAAACGGTTTAGATTTAAATCTGTGTATTCCACCAATCATACAATCACTCACCTTGTTCATGATATATTTAAAGTTTTTAATGAAGACAAGTACACCTTTGTGTACTTGTGCACACTAATTACACTAAGTGTACATGAAGTACACCTTAGTATATTCATCGATTTAATAAGGCTAAGTTTGTCTTATTCTAGCGCCAGTCATGTAAATACTTCTTTTTATAAATTACAATTTTAATTTTTTTTCTTATTGAGAAATAAATACAAAAAAAATATATAATAATAATAATAATAATAAGTTTTGGAAGTCTTTACAGTAACATAAAGAAAAATCAGTATTGAATATAATAACAGATTTGAATTTTTTTTTATTTAAAAACAAGTTTTTCTTGTTTAAGTTATTACTAAAAAAATTTTGTTTATTCTTTAACTTAGTTTTAGTGCTTTTTTAACATCAAATAAATACTTCAAGTCAATTACATCTTGATGTTTGCATTTCCATTTCATCTTTAACACAATTTAACGTATTAGTAATGTTGTAAATGGGAATATAGAAATGATTATTCAACTCTATATAACTTTCTGTTATTTTCTATATAACTTTTTGATTTAAGTCACACAATCTATTTGGTACAGCATATAAAAAAATATTTAAAACATCTTTTATTCAATATACATTTAAATATCGACTCACTAATTTTTGAAAAAGCGTAATTAGATTTAATGACATAACATATAAATTACATAAAGAGCAATATAAAAAATACAAAGGTGTCAACTGATTCCTGCACATTTACCACACATAAATGATTTATGATTAATTCTAAAATAAAATTTATTATTAACTAATCATCAAAATAATCGAACTATAAAAAAATACAGATTTGAAACCAGCACAAAAAACTGTATTTCGGTTCAACAAATTTATTTTAAAGATAAATTTATTATTTTAAAAATAAATCATATTAGAGAAAGCAAAATATTATTTAAAATAATTTTTGTTTTCAAAACAATAGTAACTTTTTAAATAAAGAAATGAATTTAAATAAATTTAGGAAAATACAACTTAAAGATTGTTGAAAAGCAATATCAACAAAAAATAAGTAGAAATTTTATAAAACTGAATAAACAATAAATAAAAAGCATTTAAATGCTTTACAAAACTTTTTAACATCAAAAAATTTTAACATTAAAAATATTCTTAAATACAAGTTGAAATAAGTAATTTTAAAAAACTATAATGGAAATGAAGTATTTGTGGCTTTCTCACTGTATTCCCAGAGTTTTTTTGATAGTTTTGCATCAGAGATAGAAGCGTTACGTGATTTGGTAATTTGACATTCTGCAAAATAACTCCCAGAAAAGGTTTCCAAACCTTTTTGAGTGGCACAATATAATAATGTTTGAGCACCTTGTTTTGGAGTTTTAAAAAAACACCTTGGAATAAAGTGATTTGTAAAGAAATCATGACGAAGTATATTGGTCAATACTAAACCAGGATGCACAGCATACACTGTAATATTAGAATGAGAAAGCTTTTTATTCAATTCTATTGTAAACAATATATTTGCTAGCTTACTTTGAGAGTATGCCTTGTATATTGAATAGTTATTATCAAAATTAATATCACTGAAATTAATTTTTCCAAATTCATGCAATTTTGATGTAACATTTATAATGCGGCAAGGTTCATTAGTTGCATTCATATGTTTTAATAATAAGTTTGTTAATAAAAAATGTCCGAGGTGGTTTACACCTAGATGCATTTCAAATCCATCTTTAGTTTTCTGTTGTGGGCAAAATACACCAGCATTATTTATTAGAACGTGAAGAGAGCTAAACTCCTTCAAGAAAGAAGATGCAAACAAACGAATGGATTGCATTGATGACAAATCAAGTTCTTTTAAAAAAACGTTTTCGTTTTTAGTTTGATTTTTTATATCCACAACAGCAGTATTACCCTTTTTTAAATCACGACATGCCAATACTATAATTGCTCCTCTCTTGGCTAATTCAAGAGCTGTCTCTTTCCCAATACCAGTATTTGCACCTGTTATTATTACAGTTTTCCCATCCATTCTTGTGGTTGTGGTGCATATAGCATGTTTACCAACTTTTGATACGAAAATATAAACACCAAAAATTAAAAATAAACCTAATGCAATTTCAGCCAACATTTTTTAACGAATTTCAGCCAACAATTTTTAACGTAAATAAATGTACAGATGACGTCATCTATTCATTTATTTACAAAACGATCCGTTTTACATGGATAAGTTTTCAGGGTTTTCAAAAATGGCGCTGTTTTTTGGTTTTTCTACTAAATTTATATGAAATCGGAAAATACTCGTAATACCCGAAGAGTAATGGCTTTTAACCTTTTAGTAGTCACAGACTAGACGGACCCTTCCTAATTTAATTGTAATTTGTAGGGAAGAAAACAAGCGTTGAAAAAAACACTTTTATTTATTAGTATCAAGTAAAATTAACGAGATGGTAGCCGCTGTTTCTTTTCAATAAGCACACCAAAATATGGAATTGTCTTCGAAAACGCACAGTTAGTTAAAACCCATAAAAAATGAAAAAAAAAACTGCCCTGAAAAAATCATTGATCGAAAAAAATTAGTTAAATTGTTATGTAACTAAATAACACTATTAGATAATAGTTTATTTTAATAATGTAGTTTGTTACTGTAATAGAAGTGATTACACTCTTAAAAGTTGATTGGATAAGTTTTTAACAACTGTTCGAACTATCAAGAAGAAATCACAACAAAAATCACGATCTACGTAAAGTAATCAATCCTCGATATTTAAAGGTTTTAAAAAGGCTCTTATCTTTTGCTTCTATGTTTAATAATAAGATTGTACGAGTTAAGTCTTTACGTTCTTAATTAACGTTTTTTTGGCAAGTAACTTATTATATCTCTTCAGGGTTTTGTTTTGTGTTGTAGTATATTTGCTGGATTCAAAAACAAACTGCTCTATTTTAAATTTATAAAGATATAAAATACCTTTTTGTAATGGCAAAAATACTACCAATTCTTATCTAGACATTAATAATTCAATTCAAATCTAGAAATTTATTATAAGTCATTCAAAAAACACAATATAACAAATTAAAAATTGATTAACTCTTAATATAGTATATATACAAATATTTCTAAATTTCTATATTTTATTTGCAATGCTTTGATTGCTTATGAAGTTTTGAAACAATACCATTAGATAATTTTTTTAAAGTGGAATGTGAATTTATAACTTTATATTATGATAATTACGCGGTATTTAATTGAAAGTAATGCCACCATTAACACTGTTCCTCAAAAAATGACCCATTTTTACTTCTTTCTAACTCTACTCTTTATGAGTTTAGGTCAAAAACTAAAAGATTTTACTAGTTTTCATGGGTAAAAATTCCACTAGATTCCATTGAGCATTATATATACTAATGAATTGTATATATGAAAGCAGAAAAAAAATCATTAGTTCTAACTTGACCCAACTAAATATAATGAAGGAGACATTTTTGAAAAAGATACCATAGCTCCTGCACTGTTTAACAAAAGGTTGAAATTTTTACTAAAAAAGATAATTTAGTTATTAATTCTTTAAAAAAGACCAAAACCCATCTGTTTCAAACAAATTATAGTTTCTTTTTTTCCTTAGGAACGAAGCTACTCATTGTCCAAAAAAAGTTATTAGAGGGAGTAGTTTTGGACAATTTTTTTTAATTTTTTTTTTGTGATTCATTGCCAATAAGGCTGTAAGCAACCACAATTAAGTTAGGAGTTACAAAAAAAAAAAATAACAAAGTTATTAAGCAAGAAAATGGTTGACAAAAGAATTAAAAAGTTGAAGGTTGAATGACTCAGGAAAAAATGAAGATGGGAGAGAGTTCCAAAGGGTTAAAGTGCGGGTAAAAAACTAGACGACTAAAAGTTTATTGAGCATGCAGGGGCAGATACAGTAAAAGAATATAATTTTGCTAAATGACGAGTTGAACAACTCGTAATTGAGCCTTGGTTGATGGAGCTGGAGATGACAGCTCCTTTGAGCAGCGAACATGATAGTATTTGTAGAACAGAAATGTAACTTCACGGCGATGAAAAAGAGGTTCAAGCTTTGCAGATAAAGCGGGTCCAGCTACATTTACAATGCGTTTGTAGACCTTGTCTAAAAGAGAAAGAACATTAGTAGAAGAACCAGCCCGAATATGACAACAGTATTCCATACTGGGACAAATAAGATATTTGAAGAGATAATGAATGGAATCAGGCGAGAGAAAATGGCGAGCACAATAAAGAGAAGCAATCTTAGCAGATGCTAATTTAGCAATCGATTGTATGTATTGTTTCCATGAAAGGTCAGTAGTAAACAATAACCCAAGAAGACGTAAAAAAGAGGACTCAATGAGAGGTTTGCTTTTTATTATTATAGAAATGTTGACAGTACTGCGATAGTTGTTTGCAGTGAATAACTGAGTTTTTTTGGAGTTAAAATTTACAAGCCACTGTGAGCCCCAATCTGTCACAGAAGTGAGATCAGATTCAAGATTGGCTGCCTGTTCTAAGCGATCGGAAAGAGGACTTTTTTCAAGAAAAGAGTATAAAGTTGAGTCATCAGCAAAAAGAACTACTTTAAATGTAAGGTTATCGGGAAGATCGTTAATGTAGAAAAGAAACAAAATTGAACCAAGGATAGCACCTTGAGGTACCCCAGAAGTTACTGGAATTAAATAAGAATTTTTGGCTTTTAAGGACGGCTTTAATAAGGTGATAAGAAAGAAACAATTTGATCATCTCAAAAACTTTCCCAGATACACCATATGAAAAAAGCTTATGGAAAAGACTAATATGCCAAACTTTGTCGACAGTCTTAGATATGTGAAAAGCAATAGTCCGAACCTCTCCGCCTCCATCTAATGCACTATAAAATCTTTCAGTCACAGCAGTTAGCAAGTCAGCCGTAGAGCGAGAGGATCGAAAACTATATTGATTGTCTGATAGCAAGTTACTTGACTCAAGATGGAATGTAAGAAATTTGTTTATTAAAGACTCAAAGACTTTGATAATAACAGAAAGATGAATGATTGAACAGTTATTGAAGGGGTCAGAATGTTCACGGAGGTTTTGAAAATTGGAACAACATTAGCCAAGCACTTATTAAATAGTTTTGAGAGAATTAAAGAGAGTTCTCAAGAACAATTTTGTAAAATTATGACAGGAATGTTGTCTGGACCACAAGCCGTAAAAGAGTTTAATCGAGATATGACTTTAGCAACGGAAGCTGGAGTGATTTGAATCTCTAATAATGGGTTAACCTGTTTAATTGAATGTATGGAATGGAAGGAAGACGATGGTTAAGATTTTTATCGAATTAGATGAAAAGTTCTTTGCAAATAGTTCTGCCTTATCCTTAATTATAAGATCAGCCCCATTAATGAGAGATTGAATGTTAGACCTTAACGACGCTGTTAAAGATTTTCCAAAAATATCTAGAGCCTAACTTTTGAAATAAGATTCTAAATTTAGTGAGCTGAGAATAATGGAGTCTAGCATCTGAGAGCACTATTTTACATCGATTTCTTGGAATAAATAGCCGTTTGTTATCCAGAGAGTTGTTCTTTTAAAAAGAATGAAAAAAATGGTTACGACTAGATATAGCAGCTGCACAAGAGGGTGAAAACTACGGAGAAAAATGAAGCTTGACTTGAAACCAACGAGAAGGAATATAAGCATGCATTAATGCTTGAATCCAGGAGGTTACGTAGGAGGTGCTGAAACGGAAAAGACATCAACCTAAAGACCGTCACCAAGAAAATCACAAAAAAATCCTAGTAAGCTTTAGGGTAGTAGTAAGTAGTACGATGATAGGGAAAGTTCAAAAATAAAGTACGAGATGAAATATTTATTAAAATCAGAACCACCCGGAAAAGAAAAAGGAGAAACTGAGCACCTCTCTGAGAGCTACCGCAGAGTTTGGGAAACCTTACTACCAGTCAGCCTCAGAACCATTAAATTGAGTTTTAGAGATGTACCTTCACTAAGAGATAATAGTAAGAGTTGCATAGCCACTATTAAAGAAGTACAAGCAAAAACCTATTAAAAAAGTCAAAAAGATCCAGCATTTACCATCCTAGGCAGGAAATATAAATGTAAAACAGGTTTAAATCTACGCCAGCCTAATAGATGAAGAAGGGGTTTGAGGCTAGTCAACAGAAGTAATCTGCTTACCCCTAAAGTCTTTACCTAAGTAGAGACAAGATAGTAGCTGGATGCTGTTTATATTTGCCCAAGATAAGTATTTTTTTTTGAGATATCATCTCTAGTCTTTACTCAACCAAGAGCCCCAAGGCAGGAAATTTTAAAGTCGGAGTTTGATTCTTCTAGCCTTTGTCTAAAAAAGCAAACTCTACAAGGCAGCAGAGCATGAGGCAGGTAGTACTGGGTTACATAAAACCAGAAGCAATAGTGATAATAGCAGTAGTGATGATCCTAAACCTGAACTGACCTAGAGCAATTAAAAGAAGCTACTTCCTGCAAACAGTACTTCAAAATATCGGGCATGATATTTTGAAAATGCATTTGGAAAAACAATGCATCAAAACAGGTTTAAACATTTAAACAGAACATTCAAACATTTAAACAGAACACATACATACATATAGTAACTTACTATGTGTATTTATGTGTTCAGTTTAAAGCAAAAACATTCAGACAAAACGCAAACATTTATATAAAGTAACTTAAAGGTTAACCAACACCGCGCCAGAGGTTCAGACAAAACACAAACATACAAATAAAGTAGATTACAGGTGAGCTAAAGCAGTAGCTAAAGCACATTCAACTATTTAAAAGACACACACACAAAAAAAAGAAAAAGAAATAAATATATATGTATATGTTACTATAGGCATGAACGATTTTAAATAGTACTGATAAAAGAAAGCAAACTCCCTCCAGCCTTAGCTTAGAAAGCGAATCCTACTAGGCAGTAAGAAGTTACCAGTATCAGGGTGGTCATGAAAACCATACACCTGACCTGACATAATATTGGAAAAGTTTTATTATTTTTGATTTCATTTTTTTATTGAGCAATCATTTTAAACAATAGCAGAATTAATAAAAATCTCAAAACATTATTTAAACAAGATGAAAATACTATTCAATCTCTTTGCAATCTCCTAAACACAAAAATAATAAATTCAAAAAAAGCC